CTTAAATACCTCTTCTTCTCTGACATTCTCCACGGAAACAGCAAGTAGCAATTGTTTCAGCACTCACATTAGAAAGCATTGACTGCCTGTGTCCAAGGCTAAATAGCAAACTGTATTGGGAAGAAACTTGGAAGACATTCTTTGTCTATCCTGAAGGTTCATGTTGACAATTTGTTCACAGAACAGAACTTAGTAGAAGACATGGAAAGAGGGATGTAGACAGTACAGATTTTAGTGCTCTCTGACTACACAAGCACAGTGTGTTGTCTGATGAGAACCTGGGCAGCAGAGCCTGGAAACAGAGGTGCAGTGCCTGATGAGCAGAAAGGGGTAAAATGCTGGGAAGCCTGCAGCCATTGCTAAACTGGATTTGACAGCCACTGAGTGGTTACACTGGGAACAGACAGATAAATTGTAAAGATGACAGAGGCCACATAGAAGAAGACAAAGCTTCTCACTAGGCTGAGGATACTTTGGGTAGCTCTGCTCACAGGGGATGATCTAGGAGATGGAATTCTGTGGATGTGTTGCACCTTCTGCTTGTGTGTGAGCAGGATAAATACCATGTAACCACTGGCCCACATAATCAGTCCCAAAAACATGATATCACTAGATGTCAATAGGATTGTATTAAGTCTCCCAGGATTCACAACAGCACAGTATCCAAAAAATTTTATCCCAGGAACATTTCTCCCAACCCTTATGGCAGTTGTATATATAGGAATGAAGATGTATACCAACAGCTGGAGGGCCCACCAGAGGCCCGGGGAAGGACTGGTGATCCTAGGGATTCTGACCTTGAGCTGGGCCAACTTGGAGTTACTGGAACTGATGGTGATGGCCTGAAAAACACTCGACAGGGATGTGGAGCCATGGAACACTCCTCTGCCAATTCTATGAAAGTATAAGGCAAGTTTACATGTAACATAATGTAGATAATAAGTCTGACTAAAAGCAGCAATGGTCCGCGGGATTCCTCTGCAGAGAACTATGAAGTCGGCCCAGGTCAAGTATTTGACAATCAGGTCCGTAGGCTTTGCCCTGATTCCAGAGAATTCAGCAATGACAATGAGCAAAGCAAGGCTGAGTTCCCCTGCATCCCCATTGCAGACTTTAACAGGAAGAAGATCCCCACAGCCAGATGTCCAGAGGCTATTCTGTCCTGTTCCTGGGTCACTGCACAACAGGTCCAGAGAACACTTGTTATACAAGCTGGACTATCTTCTTCATATCATGTCAAGCAATGAACTGCATAGTCTCTATCAGCTTATTTTCCTAAGTAATGTCAAAATGTGTCTTTCTAGTAAGAACTTTACTAGATCTCAATGAATTCCTGCCATTTGAATTGCAGATAATTAGCTAGGACATTGTGGTAAAAGTTCAGTTTTATATTGCCATTCATAGGTATTAGCATTTTCAATTGCTTTACAATTAATAGTTGGTATAACTACATTCAGATAAGTGTCATGGGTGCAGACACATTGCAGGATTCCAAGGTCCCAGCCATTAGCATAAGGCCAGGATTTACCAGAAAGGAAACTGTATGACTCCAAAGAAAATGGTACCCACTAAACGTGATGCAACAGGTAGCCAACAGCTACTAGGAAAGTGTGAATCAGCTTCCGGTTATAAGCGGCCCCCGATAACTGATAGCCGACAGCTACTAGGAAAGTGTGAATCAGCTTCCGGTTATAAGTGGTCCCCGATAATTCAACCATGCTCCAGTGGGTCATCACACTCCCAAGAGCAGATGGGCAGCACAAATTATCCTTTATGGATTAAAAACCTTTTAAAAAGTGCAAAGATGGGTGGGTGGAGAAAGATGGCAAATTTGGGAGGACTGGGGGAAGTACGGAAATGATCAAAATGCATTACACAAATTTCTTCAACGATGAAAAATGAGAAAACATAACAGAGAGTAATAAAAACCCAATAAAATCTGAGAACGAAAAATAAAGTCATAAAAAAACAGAAATGAAACTAGTGACCATCAGATATCACAGAGAAAACATTTGGATTCTCTCCTTTGTCCATGCACTCACACGCAGTTGCATTGACATGTGTCTGTGTGGACCTTTATGCGCTTATGCTTGCCTTTAAGTGTTTTCTTTTTTGTTGTTTTTTGTTTTGTTTTGTTTTGTTTTACAAGACAGGGTTTCTCTGTATTGTTTTGGAGGCTGTCGGTCCAGCCCCGCCTCGAACTCACAGAGATCCGCCTGCCTCTGCCTCCCGAGTGCTGGGGTAAAGGCATGAGCCACCACCGCCCGGCTGCCTTTAAGTGTTTTCAAAATTACTTTTAATCTTTTAATTTATTGTATGTAGTTTAACATATAACTTTACAATACTTAGTCAAGTCTGCAGAAAGGAAATAGCAAGTAACTTGTATGTTTAAAACAGGATCCAATGAATGCATTTATTTACTAGGGGGATCACTGGTGAGATTTTTCACCTTGCTGTAATGAAATTAAAGCCCAGTAGGCACAGCATATTAGTACTGAACAATAGTATCAACCATTGTTAACTAACATATCTATAAATGTTACAGAAATTGACAGGTGTTAGAATACTGTCAGTCAAAGATGCAATAGGTCCCTAACACATATTCCAATAATAACTGACGTATCTGCTTGATTCAAAAGCATTATCTGTGTTAGGAATGGTGACACATGCCTTTAATCCCAACACATTTTAGGCAGGGTCAGGAGGATCCCTGTGAGTTTGAAACTAGCCTGATCTACATGATAAGCTCCAGTACAGTCAGCACTATATAGAGACCCTGTCTCGAAACTAAATGAAAAAAAAACGTAAGAGAGACATGAACATCTGTGTCTGGAGGAAGTCAAAATAAGAGGAGCTTAAATTCATTCCGTTACTCAAACACCCACGGACTTGAAATTTGGATACTGAAGCATCACTTTACCACATGCTCCTCTTGTCACAAACCAGAAGAAACCCTCAAAAAAAAACATTAAGTTTGTGCCAGCCTACAAGCCCACTGCCAGAGAGTCTGGGAAACAGAACCTTCAACCAGTGACTGATGGAAGCAGAGGCAGACTCCCACAGCTAAACACTGAGCTGAACTCAAGGAACCCAGTGACAGAGAGGGAGGACTGATGAGCAAAGGGGTTAAGGGGTTAAGACTGGGCTCCTTTAACCCCCAGAAACAGCTGACCTGAACAAGAGTTAGCTCTTGGAACCTAGACTGATGGCTGGGAATCCAGAATGGGACTGATCCAGACCCCCTGAATGTGGTGTCAATGAGGAGGCCTAGGCAATCTATGGAGCCTTGGGTAGTATTTATCCCTGGCGTACAAATGGACTTTGGGTGCCCATTCCACAATGAGGGATACTTTCTCAGTGTGGACTCTTGGGGGAGGGCCTAGTCACTGCCCTGGATGAAATGACAGACTATGGACACCCCTCATGGAGGGCCTCACCCTCCCTGGGGAAAGGAGTAGGGATTGGGGGAGGGGTTGGTGGGAGGGTGTGGGAGGATGGAAGGGAGAGGGAGAGGGAAAGGGAGAGGGACCTGGGATTGACATGTGAAGAAACCTTGTTTCTAATTTAAATTGATAAGGACACTAAAAAAAAACAGAAAAAAAAACATTAAGTTCTCAATATGCCACTCTACACAGCCATTTTTAAAAGAGGGGAAAAATAATCTGCATGCATATAAACCCCAAGGGGGAGAAGAATTTAAGATGTAAATATGCAAAGGCCATCAAACACCTCCTCAATTGCTCTTGTAACTAACTAAATGCTGGGAGATACTTTACCAGCCCAGTGAACAGGGTCTCAGATTCCCAAAGAGCAGGCGAATTCTTAGAAACAGCCACAAACTGTTTTAGTCCCCAGGATCCCCACATTACCGGAAACAGACACAGTGTCACTATCTTGAAAAAGAAAGCCAAAAAGTAGGAATCCAGAATAGTGTCCCTCACCTGCAGCCACCATCAGTCTTGGCCTGATCTTCCTGCCAAGAGCGTTCAGCTTGTACTGGAGGCTCTTCCCTGAAAGAGGAGGGTCAGTTCAGAGGTCTACACTCACCCACCTTCCAGAGACTGCCCTGTGTTCTGCACCCTGGGTGCCTGAAGGAAAGCAACTCACCTGTGCGTGTAGGATGTATCTGTGATGCTGGCTGGGGGCGGTGGCCAATGGGACCTAAAGCCCCCCTATAGATACGACGTTGATGGCAGCCCCCAAGATGAAGGCTGAATGGTCTCTAAGCTCATCCCCCAAGAAGATGGCAGTATCATGTCACAAGAATGAGCAATGACAGTCAGGCCAAGGGAGTTGATGTCACCTCTGTAAAACACTTGCTCCCATCAGTGAACAAGAAAAACCTTTAACTGAGTAATGAACATCACAGAGGGGCAGGTTAGAAGTGGAAAGACACTCTTGTGTTACATAATATTTTTTATATCCATCTATATTGTAGCTAGTATTAATGCTTTATTTCTTTACATCAGACATTCAAATGGTAGTTTTTATTTTATTTTTCTCTTTTATGGTACTTCCAAATAGTGTCAAATGTGTTTGGGGTATTTTAAATATAATTTAATTGTTTGCAGATTAATCTTTAAATAACTTGTCTGTCTTTGCTTATTTATCTTGTATTGTTTTCTTTTTTAAAATAATTTGGCGTTTTAACGTGTGCAAGGTCCTGTTTGATCTCCAGTAAAACACACACACACACACACACACACACACACACACATACACACACACACACAATCCTATGGTATCTTTCTTTAATGTCTCTCCCAAAACCAACCTAGAAAAGGCACTCCCTCAAGTGTTTTCCCCGAATAAAATCCCTACTCTTCCTTTACTTCAAAAATATTCAGAAATAAGTAAAGATCCTTCTGAGGATGGACCGTCGTTTGACGTTGTTGACGACCTGAGCAGTAGGAACTACATTACCCATAATGCCAGGAGGCGAGTAGCAAACGCTGAGCCAGAGAGAGCAGTTTTGGACTTGCAGAACCAACTGGCACTGGGCGGGACTTCCTACAGTGCGTCCTTGTCTGTCTGTGGTTTAACTTCCCTTTGGGTAGATTGTTGGAGGAATCTGAGCTTTAGCATCGCCAAGTTGGACTCAAGGTAAGAGAGCGAGCAGGCAGCGAGTGACAGCGGATGAGACCGCCGGCAGCGGTGGCGGCCGTGTGCGGGCCCCAGCACCATCTGCAGAATCCGATGGCGACTCCGAGGCACCCGGCTCAGGTGAGTGCTGCATGCTGGGCGCTCCCCCCCCGCTGCAGACACCTGAGTCCTAGAGCCTGTTGAACGCCACCCCACCCCGCTCAGCTTATGTCCCTATGGAAGAAATCCCTGAGTGCAGAGCAGTGCCGAGCCCGTGAGTGGGATCCCCACTTCTCGTAACTAGTGAATGGCGCGTGGGAGAGTGGGGCTAGCAGGAGGTTGATTGACTGGTATAGGTATTGTCATGTTTTGGACACTTGAGCTGGAGGCATTCTAGCTTAAAAATGGCAAGGTGAAGCGTTCCGCCTACGTCCTCGGGGACCTAGGAGCCAGCGGGACTGAACGCTGTCAGAGGCTATTCAAAATGTTCCAAAAGCTGCACAGAGTTTAACCGGGTTGGAAGGGGTTAACGTGGAGCCTCGGGAAGGTTAAGCTTTGTGCACCATCCCACAGCTGGTGTGACTCAGCGTTGGGCACTAAAGTTTAGAGATAGCTTAGAAATTCAAAGGTCATGGAGATCTGGGGCTGGACAGGGGTCACGGGAAGCCCTGAGCCCATGAAAGCCTACCATGGTCTTTGCCGCTTACAACTTTTCTTCCCACAGATTCCCAGGTCTACAGAAACGCATGTGGTCTGTACACAGGTGAGTGGGGAGTGTTCCAGAACCTCACCAGTGTGACCCCCCTCCTTGTCTCAAGTTGGCAGTAGAATTCATTTGGGGCGGGGGGGGCTTCTTAAGAGCAGGATGTCAAGTCTAACAAAAAGGAACTCCCCTGTAATCTCAACACTTGGGAGGACAGAGGCAAGAGGATCACCAGTTCAAAGCCAGCCTGGACGATGTGGTGAGACCCTAAGAAACACAGAGAGGTTGATGAGATGGCTCAGCAAGTAAAGGCACTCGACACCAAGCCAGAGGACCTAACTCAATCCCCAGAAACTACACGGTAGACAGACAGAACTGACCCCTGCAAATTGCCCTCTGATTCCCATGAGTATACACACACACACACACACACACACACACACACACATACACACGCACGCACACGCACGCACGCATGCACGCACGCATGCACGCACTGAAAAATGAATAAACCTAAGGAAGAGGGAGAGACAGCACCAGCCTGGTAGGTGAGAGAGTAAAGGCGCTTAGCGCCAAGCATGACAAATTGAACCAAACCAACCCCAGGACACACCGTGGGAGGAGTAGACCAACTCCATCTAGTTCTCCTGACCTCCACACTCCACATGAATGTTGTTTCACACCCATGAACACTCACACATACATACATGCATGCACACACACATACATACATACATACATACATGCATACATACAGAAAAGAAGGATATTGAGTTTTCAAAACCCATAGTACAAGCGTAAGTCGGTAGCTAGTAACACAGGTCTAAACGCTGGGGAAGATTAATCACAGAGGCATCCCAGATGGTGAAGGCCTATGGGTTTCCCTGAGCCATAAGTTGACTTTCAGTTGGGAAATAGAATTGGGTCTTTTTTGTTTTTGTTTGTTTGTTTGTTTTGTTCCTCACTCCTTCGTGTTCGAAAGGCTGGTTTTCACCTCCTCAGGTCAACTGGTACCCCAGCCTCTCAGCCTCCTAAGTGTGTGTGCCCCGTTACACCCAGAAGGAACCGGATCTGGACAGTAATGCCATTAGCAGGAAAGTGAGGGTGTAGATCTGGTAACTGTGCATCTACCCGGAGCACAGGCATCGTTAGCACAGCCTGAGTGAGTGCAGGAGCTGTAGGAACCAGGTAGCTGATCTGGTGGGTGGTCAAGGCTTCCGTAGGAGGCGTGGAACTCAACTCAGATTTTAAAAAAGACAAACACAAACTTGGAATCACTGAGGTAACATATCACCGTGGCTAGCATGAGTGTCTATGCGCACACGTACCAGCCTCACCAGCACTTAGGAGGGACCGTTGCCCTGTCTGAAAAGTTTCAGTCAGAAAGATGGAGCGCTCAGGGGCACAGGTGTTCATCTGGGAGGGTCAGTATGTCTGGAGAGAAGGGCTTCTGTGGCTAGACATTCATTGTTTAGTTAGAGGACGCCTGTGACTGGTGAGGTGATTACCACACAAGTGGAAAACCAACCTGTCATTCCCCAAGTCATGACGGTGGCTGGCTTTGGAGCAGAGAACAGAACAGAACCAGCCATAAAGGCATTGAGAGGGGATGGCAGTGACCTCAGACACTAGAAATCATCTAACCTCTATTTAGGAAGCTTTCTCTAGATATCTTCTGCTAAACAAAGCCCAAGGGGACGCCTGTGGTGTGGCATTTAGGATCTGAGGTAGCTATGACAGTGCGGTATGGAGTAAGAAGAAACACACAGCAATGGGAAATGTTTGCTCGACACCCGTAGGTCCTGAGATGCGGGTGGCAGGCAAAGTCTTACTTGTTTCTGGGGGGAGCCCTAGGAAAATTGCTTGACCCAAGTCAGGCCAGCTAGACTTTGTGAGGTGTCTCTGTCAGCTAAAGGGTTAAAGACGGGAAAAGAGCTCTGAGCAGAACAAAGCCTGCTTGATAAGTTTTCCAAATTCTTCAAGTAGGCGGAGAGGGACATCAGAACCATTATCTCTAAATGTGTGTGCAATTATGGTGGGCTCAGGGTTCCCTGCCCCCCCCCACACACACACACCTTTCTATTGGTTGGCAGGCCTCTCATACCCCTTCAATAGCAAATGAGGCTCAGCTTCTGTCCAGGAGCAAGGAAACCATTGAAATAGGACCTACTGGCTTGGTTTGTGAGCCAGGAAGCAGCTGTAATAGTACTGGCTGGGATAAGAGTGGGTAATCCCCACTCACTCCTGCTCTCTGTGATATAACAAGCACAGAGAGACCCACCACATGCAAAGGCAAATGGGCTGTTTCAGAAGAGTCAAAACTTACCGTCTGTTGCTTAGGGCAAAAAGCCGTTAGTTCTTATATTCTATTATCTCTATCCTAAGGGCCTGTGGCCTCAAAAGAAGTTTCGATAGCCTTGTTGCTGGCAGGTCCAAAATGCATAGCTACTCCCTCCTCACCTTTCTCTGGGTGCACCGGGAGGTCAGGGTGATCTGGGAATGAAGTCACAGCTGGGCTTCAGTGTGTCGGCTTTTTAGCTTCTCCAGGGAAGAGTAAGCAAAGGGAGGACGGGTGGGTGAGCAAACTAGGAATCTTAAAAGAAATTGCTCATTGAGTGACTTGTCCCCGTCATGACAGGGCTGTGTGACCTTTGAGGATGTGGCCGTGTACTTCTGCCAGGAAGAATGGGAGCTCCTGGATGAAGCTCAGAGGCTCCTGTATCTCAATGTGATGCTGGAGAACTTAGCACTTACAGCCTCCCTGGGTAAGGCGCCCGTAACCTCCCGTGTCTTGGTTCCCACCGGTCTCTTACTCCTAGAACCAGCTCGGCCATTTCTGCAGCCAAACTTACAGGCCCTGGGAGCTTCCCTAGTTTCTGGGCAGGTGCCTCATGGGTGTCAGTGCTGAGCTATGTGGACCACCCTAAGCAGACCTGACACGTGCCCCACCCCCCCCCAGAGCACTCTTCAAAATGTCTGGGTGGCAGACACCCTGCACTCAGGGTAATGAGTGTGTGGACCTGAAACGGCGGCCACACCCCTTGTGGCTCCAGCAGAAAGAGAGGAGCTTGAGACATGGCTGTCCCTTTGCTCACTTTTTCTGTTGGGTCAGCTGATCCTACCGGTAGGAGCAGCAGGAAAATGCTCTGGCAGTTCTTTGGGGTTTTGTGTGTGTGTGTGTGTGTGTGTGTGTGTGTGTGTGTGTGTGTGTGTGTGTGTAATCATCCCCCAATAAACACCCATTTATCATTTATCATTTATCTTGACTTGAGTCTACTGATATAAATTACATCCTTGCCTTCAAAATACCTTGACAAAAGAAACATGAGGGAGGTTTTACTCAACACATTGCATCCCATCGTGGCAGAGAAGTCGCAACAGTGGGGGTTTGAGAAAACTGGTTGCATCGCATCCACAGCCAAGAGTAGAGAGCAATGACCTAATGCGTGCCAGGGTTCAGCTCATTTTCTCATTCGTAATCCAGAATCCCAAGCCCAGGCAATGGTGAAACCCATAATGGGCAGGTCCTCCACTCAATTAACACAACCACAACAGTCCCCCCACAGACATGCCAGAGGGCCATTCTTCCAGATCATCCAAGACTGTGTTAAGTTGACCGTTAACATTAACCACAGCTTCTAAAGTGACATTGTCCCTTCCTTGGCAAGATGGCCACGCTCATATCCATAATTCCTTTGTCTCCAAGTTCTGCCAAGTCCTAGGTGGTGTCTGATAGCTGCCTCCTTCAGGAATTTCACATGTTGGGATGCTTGGTGCTTACATGGACTATAGACTGTCGTACAAGACCTCTATCTAGACCTCTCTAAAATACTGATTTTTTTAACGAATCACTCATCTGTCTTTTCTTGAAGACTTACATTATTTCCTGTGTAGTTAAACAACTTGGGGTTGGGAGAAAGTCCTGGTTCCTTTCACGAGGTGGACATGTCAAGATGGTCACAACAGTTGCCTGTTCCTGATGAGTGAGTAACAGCTGATGCAGGGTGTAACACCCGGGTTGTGTTCAGGAATCTGCAGTGTGTCTAACAGTGTTATGATATTAAGTGTGCTATGTGAAACGTCTCCTGCTGGCAGTCTGAGATTTGGTCTCTGCCATCATGGACTCCTATCCCTCTGGAACTGTAATAAATCCTCCTTCTATTAGTTGCCTTGGTCATTGTGATTACTCATAGCAATGGAAAGTAACTTACATACTAACCAAAAAAAAGTACCTTACATACTAACCAAAAAAAAAAAAAAAAACCCTAGGTTTTCATAACACCAAGAACCAAGTCTCTCTCTTCCCAGGTAGCAGCTGGTGTCCCATGATTCAGTGTATCTAGCAAGAGTTCAAATAGATCACATAGTTAAAAAAAATGCTCCCACTTATATGCAGTTTTTTTTTTTTTTAGTATTCTTTTGTAATGTTCTGAATGTCTTTGCTGGTTTTTATTTCTTGCCAGCTGCTGATCTGGGTTTGTATTGTACTTGCGTTTTCTAAATTCTTGAGTTGCTTTCATTAAGTCATCAATTTGAGCTCTTTCTGATTGTTTTTAAGGCAGGCACTTAGAGTTATACACTTTCCTCGTAGGACAATTTTAATATGTCCTAGAGGTTTTGATGTGTTGTATTTTCATTTTCATGTAGTTCTGAGAAATTCCTTCCCCTCCTCCTCCTCCTCCTCTTCCTCCTCTTTCTCTTCCTCCTCTTTCTCTTCCTCCTCTTTCTCTTCCTCCTTTCTCTTCCTCTCCTCTCTTCTGTCTGCCCAACACTCAATAGTACATTCAATTCCATTGAATTTGTGCATCTGTTGCTGCTAGTTTTAAATTTTATTGCTTTATGGTCACATAGGATATATGGAGTTATTTCTATTTTTCTGAATTTGTTAAGATTTATTTTATGCCCTAGATACAGTCTTATTTTAGAGAAGCTTCTGTGAGCTGCTGGTTAGAATGTATATGCTTTTGTGTTTGAGGAAATATTCTGTAGATATCTCTTAAGTCTATTTGATGTGCTTAATGCTGATGTTTCTCTGTGTTTTTGTTCTAATGACTTGTCTGTGGAGAAAGCAGGATATTAAAACTGCCTGCTGTTAGTGGGTTGGTGCTTTTCTGTGTCTTTGATTCTAGTATTCACTTTGCATGAAATCAGATATGATGCATATATGTTTAGGGTAGTGATGTCTTCCTGGTTAAACTTTTCCTATATTAGAATGAAGTATCCTTCTTATCACACATAAGATATTAGTATACCTACTTGCTTCCTGGTCCCATTTAACTGGACTTTTTTTTTCCAATCTTACCCTTGAAGGTAGTACCTGTCTTTAAAAGCTGGGTAAAAACCGGGATTAGTTCCTTGAAGACAGCAGAAAGAGTTTTGTTTTTGTTTTCTTTTAGGGAGGGAAGAGATGCTGAGACAGGATTTCTCTATATAATGGTCCAGGCTGTCCTGGAATGTGCCTCTGCCTGGCTGGATTTTTGTTTCTCGATCCATCTGTCAGCCTGTTCAATTGGAAAATTAAAGCCACTGATATTTAAGAGTTATTTTAAAAATGTCCATTGATTACAGTCATTGTTTTGCTGTCTGTGTCTCTTGGTAATGCTTATTCCTCTTTTCCTTCCAAAGTATTGCTTCCTATATTATGTTTAGGATTGATCCGCTGCCTATGAATTCTTTTTATTTTCAGACTTATTTTTTTTAATTTTTATTTAAATTAAAAACAATCTTATTTTACATATCAATCCCAGTTTCCTCTCCCTCCCTTACTCCCATCCCCCCAACAACCCCCCATCCCACCCACTCCCATCCACTCCCAAAGTCTGTCATGTCATTTGGGACAGGGCCTAGGCCCTCCCCTGTGTATCTAAGCTGAGAGAGTAGCCTTCCATGGGAAATGGGTTCCCAAAGCCCATTTGTACACTAAGGATAAATACTGGTTCCACTGCCAGAGGCCCTGCCTATTAATTTTTTTAACCTGCCCGCATCACGGAATATTTTTCCTTCTCCTTCACCATTTTCTTTCTTCAATTAGGGAAGATAGTTTTCCTAAGTAGTGTAGTTTAGGTTGGTGGTCATGGTCATTTAAATTTGGAATATACTGCTCTGGGCTCTTCTGGGTTTCATTGAGAAATCAGTGATTGTTCTGATGGCTTTTCCTTTATATGTAACTTGGTGTGTTTTCTCTTACAGTTTTTAGTAGTCTCTCTTTATTCTGTATATTTGTTGTTTTAACTATTACATGCCATGCGAAGGTTCCTTTCTGGTCTTGTCTACCTGGTGCTCTGTGTAATTTTGTATCTATCTGGGTGTGTCTTTTCTCAGTTTAGGGAATTTTTTCTATGATCTTGCTGAAGATATGGTCTATACCATTGGCCACAAATTTCTTTCCTTCATCCATGTCTAAAATTAAAAAATTAAAAAAATAATAAAAATAAATTTTAAAAATTAAAAAAAACAAGCCGGGCAGTGGTGGCGCACGCCTTTAATCCCAGCACTCAGGAGGCAGAGGCAGGTGAACTCTGTGAGTTCGAGACCATCTTGGTCTACAAGAGCTAGTTCCAGGACAGCCCCCAAAGCCACAGAGAAACCCTGTCTTGAAAAAACAATCAATAAATAAATAAATAAATAAATAAATAAATAAAAATAAAGTTCTGAGGTTGGAACTTTTCATGGTGTCCCAAAGTTCCTGCATGTTTCTTTCCTGAGCTTTTAATTTTTTTTCATAATCAATGTTTGTGTGGTCTACTTCTCCTGCTTCAACACTTGATATTCGGCCTTCTACTTTATCCATCCTGATTGTAAGGCTTTCCATTGAGTTTTCTAGTTGACTTGTTGAGTTACCTTTCAAGACCTGATATTTGGTCTTCTGTTTGATCTATCTACCTGTAAGGCTTTTGCTAGGTTTCTCGTTGGGTTGTAATTTTTTGAATTCCAGCTTGAGTTTTCTGTCTCTCTACTGAATTCAGATTTCAAATCCTCAATTGTGTTCATCATTTCATCCAGCCTTACATTTGTATCTTCTTGGACATGATTCAGGTGTTCATTGTTATGGTGTTGAAATCCAGTTAGGTGCCTGCTTGTGTTTTCTTTAGACTCCTTGAAGTCTTTTCAAAAAGTTTATGGGCTTGTTTTCTGATTTTGTTTTCTTTGATTTTTTTAGATAAGAGTCTCACTATATACCTCTGACTGTCTTGGAACTCAGTATGTAGACCAGGCTAGCCTCAAGCTCTTGGCAGTGTGCCACCACGCCTGATGATGGGATTCCTTTTCATTTCTGCATCCTGGGATTCATCTAAGCCATTCTCATTAAAGAACACTTCTGTCAGACCTCGTGGTTTTCATGGGAGACACGCTGTCTTGGCCTTTCATATTGTTTTGGTTTTTTAGCGCGGGCATGTGGACTTGGTTTTTTTTTTTGTTTTTTTTTTTTTTGGCTGTGTGTCTGATGTGAGAGTCTATCCTGCCTTGGATTGGGCAAGTGTGACTGGGATATAGGTGATGGGGCCGGACCACATAGAACTGGTGCTGTTCTGTTTGACTAATCCTAGGCGAGGAAGAGCCAGTCTGAGGACAGCCTTGATCTGGAGCTAGACCTTTGTGTGCAGATTAATGTTTATTTAAAATATACATTCATATGTATGTCTATGTACATAAATAATAGGATCATATATATGTGCATATGTGTCTATATATACATATGTATACATATGTTGATCATAGTTATCTTCTCTACCAATTGTTTTTTCTTTTTTAATCTTCCCCCCTCTTCTGTGTATCTCTGTTTGGATTCATGTTTGATGAATCTGGGCTCTGAACTTCCTGAACCTTTGGTTTCTTTAGTTTCCCTCAGATGAGCACAGGCAGTGGAGAAGGCCTGGGCGCTGCACCTTTTGGATCGATGCTTGTGTGGTGAGCTCCTTGTGTTAGGGACAGTCTGGGTTTTAAGTGGCGACCTCTCCAAGGTGCTCTGCTTTCTCACAGTGTGTTTGGATTCTGTATCTGGGAGAACAGTGGGAACGGCAGCGTTATTTCCTGAGTTCTTTGTGTTGTGATAATTTAACAGGCATGTCAACTAGGGGCCTTCTGACCGTCTTTGCCATCATCTATAAAGGCAGAGCGTGTGCTATAAAGTCACTGGGGAATGCTATCGAGGCTCAGTACCCCACCGTTAGCCCTCCATGGTACCCTTCACCGCCTGCCTGTTGAATGGCACCCTCGGTTATTTTAAATTATAATGAGGCACGCCTCCCTGTTTCTTCTGGAGCTTTCTTCTCCCGTCAACTAGCCAACAGCCCTGACAATTCCTGCAGCTACAGCAGTAGCCCATCCTACCCCTACCTTACTATATAGTCCCCAGGACCAAACAGGCCCAGGGACACACAAGTGGCCTGCAGCCCTTAGGCCCAAAGGTACATTGAGAATATGTGACATTTACCACACAGTATGACCTGTTGCAGTTTTAAGTTGAACACAAGCAAGAACCTAGCAAAGCACGGGCATGCCAGTGCTCAGAAGGTAAGTCGGGTATCGTGTGTTGATCAGGCAATAACTGGGGTGATCCAGGAAACAGCCTATGCTCCACCACACAAGCAGCCCTCATTCGTATGTACTGTGGATTTTAACTTCTAGAGATGGCTGACTGGCATCATGGAACGGTGAATGTTATTGAGGGGGGGATTTATTTCTGAGAGGGGGGTACACTACATTATTCAGGGTATCATGAGGAAACAGTGGGCGCTAAGGATTCGAATACAAGAAAGGGACTAATTGGAGGGCAGGTCGTGTGCACTTGAGTTGCAGGCCAGAAGAGAAAATTGCATCTCCTGGAACTAGAGTTAGAGATGGTTGTGGGCTATCCAGTGTAGATGATGGAAACAAAATTTGGATCTTTTGGAAGAGCAGTATTCACTCTTACCCACTGAGACATCTCTCCATCGCCAGGATATGGCCTTGCAGTCTAGAATATGGTTGGAATATTTAGGACAAAGAAGTTTATTCACGGATACACAAACTATAAAAACATGATTTACAGTATTGGGTCTGGATTATTCTAACTACAGCTGAGCTAAATGTTTTATAGTTAAGGTTTATCCTATGTATTAACAATTGGCCTCCCTACCCACATTATGAAGGAATGAAGAGATTAGGAGAAAGGCAGAGAGAAAGAGAAGGAGAACCAAAAAAAGAAAAGGAAAAGAGAAGAGATAGATGATTCCATGGTTCATAGGGCCTGCTACTCTTTGAGAGAACTGGAGTTTAATTCCCAGCCTACCCACAATCTACAACCAAGCTCCTGATTTGACACCCTCTGTGGCCTAAGTGTATATGCACATATACACAGACACACTTAAACACACAATACATAGAAATACAGAAATAAATCTATAAGGAAGTAAGGAGGCAGACATGGAAGAAATGTTTCCATTTAACATCTAGGTTGGTGCCTGTAAGGGAAGGACTGGCTATTTGCTCTATAGTCTTTCCTCTTCTCTTTTATAGAAACATTTAAATGATATTCCTTCCTCCTCCCCCCCCCCAACCACACATAAAAGCCACCTGTAGAGAGTTGGCTAAAATCAGATTGCTGGACACTGGGAAGTCTTTCAGGCAGAAATCTGCCGAAAAGCAAGACTTGCCCCGAAAGATCGAATTGGTTTATGTCACTTTTTCCTCTCTCCAGTAGACACAACTTACATCTTTGCAATAAAAGTAGCTAGAAGCTGGGGCAAATATTTTCCGCATGTATCCTGGAGACCTTAAGATGATCTGAATATAAAGCTAAGTATATAAAAATTTTAAATATAATAACCACTCTTCCTGGTGAGTTCAATAAGGAGAATAAATTTAAAACATAATTGGTAATTCCTACGACCGTGACAATGTTTTCTGTGCTTTCAGTTTGTTGGCATGAAGCCGAGACTGAAGAAACAACCTGTGCACCGAGTGTGTCACCAGCTGAAGAACCACACATCAGGGTTCCGAAGGAGGATCTACCCAAACAGAAGACTCATCCTTCTGACATCTGTGTCACAGTCCTGAAAGACATCTTGCATCTGAATGACCTACCTGGGCAGAAACCGTATTTGACTGAGGTGTGCGCAAACCTCCTGGACCAGAAGCATCCTAGAGCCAAGAACTGTTTAAGGAGCCATGCGGACTCCCTCGTGAAGAGCTGCGTATTCCATGTATCAGAGAATCCTCCCATCTGTAGTAAGATTGGAGAGAACTTCCCAGCTGTGTGCAATCTTCTCCAGCCCCAGGCCACTCCCAAAGGTGAGAAGCAAAACAAAACTAAGCGTGGCAAGGCTTTCCACGGTGATAAAAAGAATTCTAAGTCAGATGAATTTAAGGAATCTCCCAGCCCCCAACACATGCTTCTTGAGTACCAGAGAGTTGGTGGTGAAAGGGAAGGGGTTGAATCTAGCAACTGTAAGCAAGATTTGAACACGTACACACGCGTACCATCCCGGACAGACCCAACTGAGAAGAGACCGTATGAGTGTCATGACTGTGGAAAACTGTTTGGCCAAAAGGCCACCCTTAGAATTCACCAGAGACGTCATACTGGAGAAAAACCATATAAGTGCGGTGAATGCGGAAAGTCCTTCTGTCAAAGCTCCAACCTCAGTGAACACTGCAGAGTCCACAGTGGAGAAAGACCTTACGAGTGCGTGGACTGTGGGAAGGCCTTCGGGTGTCATTCTAGTCTTCTTCGGCACCAGAGAACGCACACTGGAGAATGGCCGTATGAATGTGGAGACTGCGGAAGACTGTTTAGACAAATCGTCAGCCTGATTACGCACCAGAGGACTCACACTACAGAGAAGCCTTACGAATGCGGACAGTGTGAAAAATCTTTTAGTCACAAGGCCACTCTTACCGTACATCAGAGAGTTCACACTGGGGAAAAGCCCTATAATTGTGAAGAGTGTGGGAAATCCTTCAGCCAAAGTGCCAACCTCATTAAACACTCCAAAATTCATACTGGAGAAAAGCCCTATGAATGCGGGGAATGTGGCCTGTGCTTCCGTCAGAGAGCCACCCTCATGAAACATCAGAGAACCCACACTTCAGAACGGCCTTACGAGTGTAGGGAGTGTGGCAAGTTCTTTAAGCAATATTTCTACCTCATTGAACACCGTAGGATTCACACTACAACAGAATTTTATGAGTGCGAGCAGTGCGGGAAATCTTATACGCAAAGAGCCACCCTGGTTAGACACCAGAGAGTCCACACAGGAGAAAGTCCTTATAAATGTGAGGAGTGTGGGAAAGCCTTTGAATACAAATCCAGACTTGATCGGCATCAAAGAACTCACACTGGGGAAAGGCCTTATGAGTGCGCCAAATGTGGGAAGTTCTTCAGGGAAAGCTACAATCTTGCGGAACATCAGAAAATCCACACTAAAGCAAAGCCTTACAGGTGTGATCAGTGTGGGAAATGTTTTAGCCGGAGAGCTGACTTGGTTAAACACCAGAGGGTTCATACTGGAGAAAGGCCTTATACGTGTGGAGAATGTGGGAAAACCTTCAGCCGAACTACCAACCTCGTTCAACACAGCAGAATTCACACTGGGGAACGGCCGTATGAATGTGACCGCTGTGGGAAATCCTTTAGCCAAGTATCCACCCTCACTCGGCATCAGTTACTTCACGCTGGAGAAAGACCTTCTAAATACAGCAAATGAGGGACATCCTAGACAAACAACCCTGTAGCATCTTCTAACACCAAAAAAAAAAAATGTCAAAATATAGCAAATGAGGGACATCTTAGAACAAACAACCCTGTAGCATCTTCTAACACCAAAAAAAAATGTCAAAATATAGCAAATGAGGGGCATCTTAGACAAACAACCCTGTAGCATCTTCTAACACCAAAAAAAAAAAAGTCAAAATACAGCAAATGAGGGACATCTTAGACAAACAACCCTGTAGCATCTTCTAACACCAAAAAAAAAAAAAAAAAAAAAAGTCAAAGAAAGGCAGAAAATGTGGGAAATCCTTCAACACTAGGTGGACCATCACAGCTCCTGAAAGCCTACACTTGAAAACATCCTTAAACCTCCCAAGAGTGTTGTATTGTTGTTCACTGTAGCAGACTAGAGTCTGCCAAGGGGTGAAGTGCTACATGAGTTCCAGGCATGAGTAATTTGTACTGGTGGTACCCTGCCCATCCCAGAATCTGTCTCCTTTGCCAGAGGTAAATAACTGCCATAGTGTCTCCTAGAAAGCATCTCTTGCACCTCGTACTGAGTGCATAATCCAACCCTCAACATGCCCATAGTCTTCCCTAGTGAAACCCTCAATTGCCTGTGCCTTGCAAATGACATTAACCCCCCCCCTTTCTTTTCCTGGTCTATATTTTGCCTAAAATAACCTGCTCTGCCTTTGGCTGGAGGCTTCAGAAAGCATTATCCTCTTTTTCATTCTTTGTCTCACAATGTTCAGGTTACTGTTTACATACTCCAAGGTCACTAGCCAGTAACTTCCTGCTGTTTCGTGCAATAATAAAGGCCTTATTTTTTTTCATGTGCTTTTAATCGAGTTTTTATTCACAGCCTTGGGTGGGTAAAATACTACTGTGTAGGCCCTGGTTATGTAAACTGGAACAGTTTTTTTTTGAGGCAGCTCCACTCATGTCTCAGTGGGGGTACGGTCATGGGAAAGAGTGGCTTATGTTGCTCTCCAAGACCTTTAGTGGGACAAAGCAGGTGTTCAGTCCTAGCTTTGGGCCTCAATGCCTTTGTTGTTGGGAGAAGGGTGATTTGTTTTTGTTTAGACCAAAGGCTACCCTGAAGTTGAGGTCAGCTGTTAGAACAACAGCATTCAGTGCTCTTACAATAACTTAAATTTATTCCGCCATTCCCACGTGATCTGACATGATGCCCTAGACCGTTGAAGGCAACCTTTTCACTGAGCTGCATAGAGCCATATCCATGATTCCTGGTGTCATTTGTCACTTGTGAAATTAGGGGAGCCAAATAGAAACAATAACTGGTACAGTAATATGGGCTTTGATTAGTTGACAGGTAGGGTTTTTATATGAAAACAGACAGAGACCATGGGTGTGGCACTCTGGAAAATAATTTGCCCATATCTTGCATCCTGAAAATTTAACCGAGCCTAAATTCAGACTGTGACATAATTATTTCTGGCTGCTTATAGCAGGATTTACTCTGAGAAACATCAGCAAAAAGCAGAGCACGGAGACCCCAAAGAATGCAATTTTGCCAGGAGCAGAATGCGCTGCAGCTGCAGACAGAGCAGCCATAGTTGCTAATGGGAACCATTAAAAAAAAGCCAAACACTTCATTACTAGGGCATAGAAAAAAATACCTTGAAGGCTCTAGGCTGTTGAACTACAAACTGGTGGAAAATAATTTCCCTTTCAAAGGGTGCTGTTAAGGTTGGGTAAAGAATTACTTAGGGAGATGCTTTCCTGGGTCCTGCTCCCCCTGTGCAGGCCACTGCAACTATGGACCCAGGAGGCTTGGGCTGGCCCTATTAATACCATTGACATGCTGCTCCTTTTACAGGCAGGCAGAAGGGAAGGTACAATGTCATGGAGGCTTCCACCGATTCCGATGAATAGCCTGTGATGCTAACTGGCATGTCACAGGGTCCGTTTTCTCAAGTGTCACTGACAGGGAACTTGAGAAATTAACACTTAATTGCATGGTGCATGTCAGGAACATGGGATGTCTGACAAAAAAAACTATCAGCAGCAAGTGGAACCAGCCCAATAGAGGCTATATGGGCTACAAATAGCAAGGCCTTAGGAGTAGGCATGCTCAAGTCTGTTCAACCTCGGGTGATAGCAGCGTGTGATCCTGACTCTGGCAGTAGGGCTGCAGGGTTTAGTGTTTTCCGTTCAGGTTTTTTTGTTTGTTGTTTGCTGTCCTTTGATTCTCTCCCCTTCTATGGCCCACTCCTTCCCTTTTGAAATGGGAATATTTACTGTGTGCCATTGTAGTTGGAACGTAACATAACCACCTTTTTGGCTTTATTTGGCTCAGTTAAGAGTTCACCTTTGATCTCAGAAGAAACCCTGAGCTTCTGAACAGTACAGGGACTGGTAAGATTGGAGATTCTTGAAGTGGAGCTAAATGCATTGTGCTTCATGAGACAGCGATGAGCCTTGAGGAGCCAGGAGTTGAATTTTGAGATTTGGAGCTGAAATGCCTCCCATGTTTTAAAAACCTGCTTGCCAGATAGTGGTGCTATTTTGGAAAATGGTAGAATCTTTAGATGAGGCCCAGGTGGCAGGAGTCAGTCACTAGGAGCAGGTCTTTTGAAGGTTATACCCAGCCCCTAGGTAAGTGGTTCTCAGCCTGTGGGCCATGACCTCTTTGGGTTGCATATCAGATATTTATGATTTATGACAAGATCAAAATTATAGTTATGAAGTAGCAACACAATAATTTTATGATGGCGGGGTCGCCACCAAATGCAGAACTGTACTAAAGGGTATTAACACTAGGAAGGTTGAGAACCCCTGCCCTAGCTATGTTGGCTACCCCTCTGCTAATTTATTACCATGTTGTGAACAGCCTTTGCCATTTGCTTCTGTTGGCTTGAACTAAGGAGCACCCCACCCCAACCCCTAGCTTTCCCAGTAGGATAGGCTGAAACCCTTTCAAACTGAACCAATGCTAACCACTCTTTGAGTTATGCAGAATTAGCGTGCTGGTGCATAACAGATGTGCATTTATGTGTACATTTTTATGGTAGATGCATTGAACTGGTTATAAATCCACACAGTCATCATGAGCTCAATAATGTTTCTATCCAGAATTTCTCTTCTCTTGTATAATCTGTTTTCCAAGGAGCTTTGAGCTTTCAAATTCATAATGGTTTAATTTTACTTGTAACTTTTAGAATTTTATTTGAAGGGAATCATAAAGTGTGTGCCTGTTTTCTAATTATTTTCATATTGAGTAATTGGTTTTGGATTCATTATTGTTGCCTACAGGAACACATCGTTATTTCTATTGTTAAGCAGAAGTCTATTCTGTGGACAAGTCACTGTTTGTTCATCTGTTAATGATAAAGAGGCTCGCTGCCAATTGAAGACTATTAATAAAGCTACAAAGAGCATAGGTATACGGTTCTTTGGAAAGTATATTTTACTTATAATAGTGGCTCCAATTAAAGTAACTTTCACATTTAAAAAACTACAAAAACGTGTTTAAACTGGTTGAGTCCATTGTGATTTGCGTTAAGAAAAGCTCTCAGAAAGTGCTGGCAGTCTGGCTACAACCTATGTAACCCCTCTGACACAGCTGGCTGGGCAAGTGTTCTCTCCCTCCCTGCCTGTCCCACGCATGTCCCTCCCGAAGCTGTGATCCTGGTCCAAAAGGAAAAAATTCCCTGGTAGAGAAGGAGCAATCTTTGATCAAGAATATTTGAGTAGCTGCTGTCTCCGGCCAGCACCTCCAAACAAGGACTCTAGAAAACCTTGAAGAGACTGAAGAGATGTCTCAGTAGTGAAGAGCTTGTGCTGATTTTCCAGTGGAACCAAGTTCAGTTCCCAGCACCTATGTCAGATTGGTTATGGCTGACCTGGGCTAGCTCCGGGGAATCTGACACCCTCTTCTGGCCTCTGTGGGCACACAGAGAAGGAGGAATGGGGGAAAATAAAAATAGAATTAAAAAGACAAAGACTTTGATGATTGACATTTATAGTATTCCCTGCAGTGCTCAGGAAACACTATTGAAGAGGAACCAGAAAGAATGTAAGGGCTCGAAGATGACACAGGGCTTCAAAATGCCATTGTATGGGTAACGCACAGCCATATTCATCACGAACTGAACAACCACACAAAACTTCGAATCCAGCTTCTCCCCCTAGAGACCCAGTCAGTCCTCATCCGGCTCCACTTTGCCAATCTAATTTTGTTCATAGGAAGCGACTGTAAGAAATCCCAAAACTTAAGGTTTTTGTTATCGTTTTGGTTTGTTGGTCTCATCGATGCCACGTGAGTTAAATCCTTCTAGCTCACTAGCTTTTCCTACCCTTGTCACTTTCTGTTGCAGTTCCCCCAACCCAAGAGCGTCTAAGGGCGGGGTTGACCCCAGGCTCCGGAGTTAAGAACTGTTTGAGACGACGCCTCGGGTCTCTTTAATCACAAAGGACCCGAACTCGAACCAGAAAGTCGGTTATCGCGATCCCGCGCGGCTCTGTGGACGGACGGTTTCATTGCCCTTAAACTTTAGCCGCTTCCAGAACCTATGTTTGCCTGCATGGACGCTGCGGAGCTACGGAAACTACATTACCCACGATTCTTTGAGCCGAGTGGCCAAAGGCTGGACCAATGAACTCTGAGAAAGGCCTTTTTTGGTGCTCGGACCGCAAGCTGTGGGCAAGACTTCCTACATCTCCGCCAAGCGGTCCTTGTAGCTGCCTTGGGGCTATTTCTGGCTATCATTTGATAAAAAGAGTGTGGAGTGGGAAACAAGGTGGGCAGAGAGGGTGTAGATCTACGTCCCTATCACTGGCCATGAGGGATGCTCGACCATTTGCAGAGTATGACGACGGCTGCCAAAGTGGTGCAACCTGCTTAAGAAAGTGTCGCCCTCCCCTCCCTCCACCCCCCCAACCCCCTTCCCCCCCCCCCCCCCGGCCTCACCACAGTCCTAGATCTGCAAGAGGTTCGCGTCCCTACGGTAGAAATCCCTGTGTCCAGAGCAGTTGCGAGCTTGTGAGTGGAATCCCGATGACTGTTGGCGGATGTGACTGGATGAGAGTGGGACCCGCAGAGGTCTAGTTGACAGGTGTGTGTGTGGTGTCTTGTCTGCGAGGTTGAGCAGGACCATTTTTAGGCCTTCCAGTGGTGAGGTGAGGAATTTTTTTTTACTTGTATCTTTATGGATCTGGGACTGAGTGAGGCTCGGGATGGGAGAACATGGTTTACAAGACTCTCAAAGTAGCCTTGAGGACTTAACACTGAGGCTCCGGAAGGTTGAGTCTTTTGGGACTCAGCTTTGAGTGCTGAAGACTAGGGATATATAATCCAGCCGTAATAAGGTCTCATGGCTCCAGGGTTATACAGGGATTGAGGGGAGGATGCTGAAACCCCTACCTACCATGATCCTTCACAACCTTCTTCCCGCTGACTCTCATGACGACCAAAGCGCTTATGGACTGTTCACAGGTAGGTAAGGAGTGTTCCAGGGGCTTCGCTGATGACCTCACTAGTTGTCTCTGGGATTGTGTGCTAAAATGATAGTTTCACCAGCGTTCCACTGCGTAAAGCCTGGAGAACTCCCAAAGCAGGAGTGGAAACTCAGGCTGGGGGTTATACAGAAAGGTTTCTCACAAAGAGAAGAAAGGCTGCCCCGGGCACGGTTCCAACATACAGAACTGAAATGTAAGACTGAACTTCCGTAGAGACCACAGGTTGCCTCTCCTTCTGCTGAAAATTAGAGCAGCAGGGCCAAAGAAGTCAGGCCTGGAACGTTCCGTGTCTGGTCTGCACGTGATGGGAGCAGAGGCGATTTGGTGAGATTTTTACCAGGCTCCCCATGGCTGCAGCAAGAACATGCTGTCATGGTTACAGCTCAGATGGAAAGGTGTCCTGGCAGTTGGAAGCCAGGGGATATTACAAAAGCACATGGTACAGCAAACCTCACAAAGAGATTTAGCCAGAGGGGGAAAAAAGCAGGAGGGTGGCTGCCTCTGCTCAGGGAAGAAACAGTAGAGAACCGAACAGTTTACAGGACTTGTATAGAGTTTCTTGGGGAGGAGGTTGGAACTTTTCAGGGTGAAGTTTTCCAGGGTGGAGATTGGTGGGATTTCAAGTGCAGAGATTGGGTGCTTTTTATAGCTAGGCGAATGGGCAGGGTCCGGCAGTTAGTGCACACAGAATATTCTGTGAGTGGAACCTGGCAGTTGGAGGTTCTCAAGGGAAGGGTCTGGTCATTCTTGTGACTTGAGGGGCTTACACACGTTATGGGGATAAAATGAGGTGATTGACACCCTAGAGTCGTGCCTACTTCCATTGTCCAAGGAACAGCTCATGTGACTTCATCATTGTGATGAGCAGAGGGTAAAAACTGTGATTGGGATCTGGGTTGCTTTTTCATTTAAGAAACCTGAGTTTTTCTTCTGAGGGAGTGAGAGCAGGGTAAAATAACTCAAGGGATTTCATATTTTTAGATTTTTAATCTGATGGAAGCTTAACCAACTGCATTTTAAAGTTGACTGTAGAAATCTGTTTGGGGATATATATTAGGATATCTGAAATTTTGTTTTGGTCCTCCTAAGAATGAGGTGTAAATTCTCATATGAATATATACCCCATTAATCCTAGCACTTGGGGGGTAGAGGATGGCAAGAGGAGTTCAATAAAAGAATGAGCTATACTTTAACTTTTAAATATTTCAAACGTTTTGTTTAGTACTGGGTATCATGACTTGAGTATCTGGGTAGAGTTGGCAGGTGTCACAAAGATAAGGGAATGAAGGAAAGGAATTCAGTGAGAATTTGATGAACTGACAGTAATCAAAGGCTTCCAAAGAAAGAGTGGGTATTAGTCAGACATATAGAAAAGTTGTGTCTAGGCGACAGTGTAGCCAGTATGAGTGCCTGTTCATCAGACTTTGGGCTCACCAGCATTGAGAAGTGTCTGAAGACTTTCAGTCAGGCTGCTGGGTTAGCTTAGAGCCATCTAGAGTGGAAAGCCTCTGGGATTGAGCATTCCGTTGTTAGAGATGGAAAAGCTGTGGAGAGACTGCCTTAAATGCCCCTCCCTGATAATGATTTTGACCACATGACCCAAGGAGAAATGTGTACAAAAGAGAGAAATGAGAGTTTCAAACACATGTGTGTTGGTATTCAAGACATAATAGTAAAGAGTCAGTTCACATTTAGGTGTGTATGAAGGACACAATCTAGAGAATCTCAGGATGATTGTCAAATACAATAAGTTACAGCCCTGTGTTTTGCCAAGCTCAGAATTACATGGCTTCCTCCAGCATGCCTATGAGTACTATAGGAGGACACAGTTATACTAAGGCCATGGTAACAGGTGAGTTCCCGTGGTCTTGGAGCCTGGGATCACCCAAAGAAGTGCAGTTAGTGTATGAAGGAATGGTGGGTAGGTGGGTGAACCTGGAATCCTAGGAGATTCGATCATTGAGTGACTTGTTCCCATCATGACAGGGATATGTGCCCTTTGAGGATGTGGCCAGGTACTTCTGCCAGGAAGGATGGGAGCTCCTGGGTGAAGCTCAGAGACTGCTGTATCTCCATATGATGCTGGAGAACTTTGTACTTATAACCTCCCTGGGTAAGGCGCCCGTACCTCCCTGTGTACACCTTTCCTTCTGTTCATATCATCAGACTATGGTCTCTGTTGATTATGCCACTTCCTTGAGAGGTGCATCATGGGTGCCTGCACTGAGCTGTGTACATTGCCTTCAGCTGCCCAAATATGCAATTCCCTCAAAAGAGTGAAAGTTCTGAGTGACAAGAGTCATGCCATCAAAGCTATAGTTCCCACTTGGCGCTCTCTCTCTCTCTCTCTCTCTCTCTCTCTCTCTCTCTCTCTCTCTCTCTCTCTCTCTCTCTCTCTCTCTCTCCCCTTGACCTGGTGACTCTTCACATCCTTAGTACCATTGCTCCGTTTTTATCATCCTCCTCCCTGACAAATCTTTATAGCCACCTGCTGTGGGAATTGGCAGGCAATGTCATGATTAGTACTTGTATGGACTATGAACTCTTTTTTGGGGGGGGGCTTTAATACAGGGTTTCTCTGTGGCTTTGGAGGCTGTTCTAGAACTAGCTCTTGTAGACCAGGCTGGTCTTGAACTCACAGAGACCCTCCTGCCTCTGCCTCCCTAGTGCTAGGATTAAAGGTGTGTACCACCAACGCCAGGCTGTGGGCTATGAACTCTTACCAGACCTTCCTCTAAGCTTTTTTTCCCCAGTACTTACATTTCTTCCTAATGGTCTTCTGTGTACTGGATTGTTCTAGACCACTGCTGACCACTCGCCTGTCCTGCTTTTCCTCAAGACTTGCATCATACAATTCACATGTTCTTAGACAAGTGGTACTGTGGGGAGATGCTTGGTTTTATCACAGTGTGAAAAGCAATAGGAGTCTGGGGGAAGCTTGGCCCTCATGCGTGGCAACTGAGTCAGGAAATGACATCAGAGTTGTGTTTAGATTACACCAGAAACCTGTTATACAGCAGTGTTTTGATGTCCCACTAGCCATATCTCATTTCTGTTTTTCGTTTACCAGGTCCCAACCTTTCTTCCTGGCCAGCAAGCATCACTTGTCCCCTCATCAGTATCTTCCAACACTGACCCATACTTAGTATGCCCTTTGAACATTTATCATTAAATAGCCCTGCAGACTTCTACGGTTAGAATTCTCTGGGCCTAGTCATAGTGTGCTATGAGTCTACTCTTGTCAAAGGAGTATGTCCAACAGTTATATTGTTGGATTATATGATAAGCTAGGTTTTTTAAATATTTGTAAAGATTAGCTTCAATGTGTCTGACCAACAAGGAAGGATGTTCATGGGGTCCAGGTGTTTTTATGATGCTAACAACCAATTCTGCAGTGTGGCAGGCACTGCCAGTCTGCGTTTGGATTCAGATTTGATTCTATCAGAAGTGTGAAGTATGTCTCATGCATTAAAGTCTCAGTCCCTTCAAACTCTACTTGCAAACCAAATGCCCAGCATAGTCCATTTCTGTCTATGCAACTACAAATTTGAGAGTTCTCCCAACATATCTCTGGTTTAATAATTTTCTAGAAAAACACTGGTATAGACATTGCTATTCAGAAATGCCAAAATGAGTAGTTTCATTAGCCAAGACATAGGCAGAGGGCCAGCAAGATGGTTCAGCAGATAAAGGCATCTGTGATCAAGTAGGGGGTCCCATGTTTGATCCCCAGGCCCCACATTGTAAAGCTATATAAATAACCCCTAAAAGTTTTCTTCTGACTTCTACAAAAGAAAAGTAGAGGGAAGAGGAAAATGAGGGAGGAAAGGATGAGGGAGTGAAGAGAAGGAAGGAAAGATTATTTGGGCAGAAGTTTGGGCAGCTTTCGGTCCTCTATACGCACACCACTCTCCCAACACTTCTTTATAGTGATCAACCCAGATGTTTTCTAAATCAGGTCATGTGGTGGTTTTGATGACCATCTCAAGACCTTCATAAAAGGCATAATTGACCTAGTCATTGCTTGTAATTGATTATCTGATTCCACTCGTCTCCCCTCCCAGTGATCAGTATGGGGTTGAAATTACAGTCTTTCCTTCATATCTTGGACTTTTCCAGGACTTGTCCACAATGGAACTTATGAATGGTTCTGTGGACTAGTTAGCACATTAACAGAGGCATTTTAAGATTAACAATGGATACACCTGGGCTAACCAACACAGACGCAGTGGAGATAATTCACCCTTTATACGTTATACTTTGTATGAGTTTAGATCTTGAAAGCCCTGGTTTCTTTTGGTTTGGTTTGTGTTTCAGTTTTGTTTTGTTTTGTTTTGAGACAGGGTTTCTCTGTGTAACAGCCCTGATTGTCCTGGAACTCACTCTGTAAACCAGGCTGGCCTCCTGAGTCCTGGGATTAAAGGTGTGGGTCACCACCACCCACCCAGCAGAGAGCTCTGTTTTAGCTTACTATAGGTTATCATTTTAGTAGTTGTAGAGGTAGTTTTTCTTTTGGTGTTGAATGCTGAAGCAAGGACTTTGAGCTTGCTTAAGAACCCCTCTACCCCTGAACTACATATCTAACTCAATATTAACTTCTAAACAGGGACCCCATTGGGTCCATTTGATTGAGTCATCTTGTTTCTAAGACAATCTAAGTTTGTTATTTCCTGAATTAAATTTAGACTATCTCATGGGTAGAATGATTTTGGTGGACTTTGGAAAGGAATATGAACTTGAGGTTCAGTGTCTGGCCCTAAGACTGACAGAGAAGAGGAATGTATTCTTGGATATACACGGAAATATGATTTTTGTATGTCATTTCTGGATTGCTTTTTTCCCATATTAACTCCATGCTACCCACTGAGCCCTTTGTCACCTGTTAACAATTTCTCATCCTTCTACTGGGCGTGGTGGCACATTCCTTTAATCCCAGCACCTGGTAGGCAGAGACAGATTGATCTCTGTGAGTTCGAATTGGCCTGAGCTACAATGAGTTCCAGGACATCCAGGGCTATGTAATGAGATTCTGTCTCAAAACAAACAAACAGCTGGTCATGCTTAAAGAGTCATTCCTTAGGGGGTTAAAACATCATAGAGAAAAAACAATTAATAAGGCATCATTGATAGACTCTATCCACAAGTAACATGATTTTGAACAGCATTTTTCTTCTTTCAGATTATTGGCATGAATCAGAATATGAAGGAAATCTTTCTGTACAAAGAGTTTGCATAAATGTCACAAGCCAGGACTCCAAAGAAAAGTCTCCTCACTGGGAAGACTCACTCCTGTGACATCTGTGTTCCTGTCTTGACAGACATTTTGCATCTGGATGGCCCACCTGAACAAAAACTATTCTTTGTAGAAGCATGTTCAATCTTCCAGAGCCAAAAGCATCACACTGCCAAGAATCCATTAAAGGGAGATGTGGACAGAGACTTCCTTGTGAAAAACTGCACACTCCATGTATCAGGGGATCCTTTCATTTATAGGAAAATTAGAAAGGACTTCCCAGCTAGATGGGAACTTCTCCAGTCCCAGAACAGTCCCAAAGATAATAAGCTAAGTGAAGTCACCAAGACTGCAGAGGCTAATAGTAGAAAATGTCCCTTTAAATCCCAAGAATTAGAGCTTCAGGTAAGTTTGGGTCCCCCTGGGACCACCCCCCATCCTCACCCATCACCCATCCCCTCTATATTCTGGGGGCCCGCTCCTGGCATCCAGAGGACTCACCCACACAGGAAAGGCATCAGTCCTTCCAGACCCCAACCTCCGGCGTCCCCAGCTTCAGGTGAGCTCGGGTCCCCCTGGGACCAACCCACCCCCACCCATCACCTACTCCCTCAATCTCCCGGGGTCTGCTCCTGGCACCCAGAGGACCTGCCCACACAGGAAAGACACCAGTCCTTCCAGACCCCACCCTCCAGCATCCCCAGCTTCAGCTTCAGGAAAGGAGACCAGTGGAGACAGAAAGACCCCACCTGCACCCACTGGAAGAAAAGATGGAAAGAAGACAGAATAAGAGCTCACTCAGCAATATAAAGACAAACATGACCCCACCAGAATCTAGAGACCCAACACCAGCAAGACCTGAAAAGCACTACATAGATGAAGCAGAAGAGACAGACCTTAAAAATTATTTTATGTTCTAATGTCTGATAAGTTTTAATCTTACTAGTTATACTAATAGTTGGCCTAACTAGTATTTTGAAGTCAAATCAGCCCCTCTTAATATTTCTGTTGGTATAGGTTAATAAGCTCTGATTATGTAGGAACATTGATAGGGGAAGTCCTTCTGTGTATATGTTTGTCTTATTGGTTGACTGTTGGCCAATAGGGAAGCAAGATAGGTGGAACTAGCAATCGAGGTCTGGGAAATGTAGTCAAGCATAGAGAGTCACCATGTGATCCTGGGAAGAAAAGACACATGAGGCTGGCATCCTCGGTAAGATAAGACCTTATAGAAATATATATGTTAGTAGTCATGGGTTAATACTTAAGACAGAACTAGCCAATGAGAAGCCCTGGACATTGGGCGATAGCATTGTAACTTATAGAGTCTCTGTGTCATTTGCAACTGATGCATCTCTGGAACGAGGCTGGCAGAAAGAATGCTCGTTACAGAACATGATGGTTAAAAAGCTAAATCTAAATGTTTTATAATATTTTTAAATTATAACGATGTCCCGCGCTACCGTCTCGCCAGCAAGAACGACGCAGAACACTCGGATCCTTCTGCAGTAAAGCTTTAATGCATCTTGAGAGATAGATGATCAGCTTCTTAGAGGGAGACCCCAAGCTAAGAAACCCAGCCCCTTATATAAGCCTAGGAGCTCCGAGTGAGATGTGTAGAGCCGGGATTGGTGGTTTGCACATCACCCCAGATGACGTCACGGGAGAGGCACAGTTTAAACGGTTAACTCCAACTGACAGCGACAGTTAACTCCAACTGACAGCGACAGTTAACTCCAACTGACAGTGGATGTCAGCGCCATCTTCTAACGGCAATAGCGATAGCGAGGGCGGCTCCTCACATCTCCCCCTATTCATTTATTTTTGAAGCAATAGGACACCCACAACTTTGGAGTGGAGATAGAGGTCAAATCCCCATGTGCAAATTCGGAACATGTACAAAGCTCCTCTCCAGGGTCTTATCCCCAGAGGAAGTCCTGACCAGTCCGATGTCTTTTTTCTGGGGGAAGGAGATCATGACATAGAACCTTCATGCAAGATGACTTATCTCCCAGGAGAAAGTCGTTATACCGCAGACCTCTCCTGTGCAGTGCTTAGCCTTGCAACTCCTTGGGCTGCTGAAGCCTACCCACTCTATCCCGTGCAATGAGACTAGCCTCGTGGGGTGCAAGAGCTGGGAGGCCAGCGACCTATTGCTTTAACATGGTTAACCAAATGTCAGGGGATGCTCCGTGTTCTAAGGCAGCAAGTGCTTGTGCCACCACCACTTTCTCCTTTTGTTTGGGCTCTGAGCGTACACACCATCCAAAGCATCAACACTATTCCACAGCAGAGAACTAGGCTAAATGATCCTACCCCCACCCATTCCTTAAAATAAGAAAATGCAGATGAAATCCAGGGGGAGAGGTCTTCCATCAGAGAAAGATCCAGATGCGTCGAATTCACTTGCAGGATCGCCATTCTCAACTCACGGAGTGTCTGCTCAAACTCAAAAGTCCAATTCTGTAATAAATGTTGAGACAGAGCTTTTGACAGGTTAGCTGCTCTTGTAAAATTCTCATATTGTACTAAGTGACACAAAGGCCAGGCAACTTTTGTTCACATCCCAATTGGGCCATCTGCCACAATATATCCAATTGTTCCTGAACCAAATTAATCTGTTGGTTTACCAACATCAGGCCTCCTTGTATCTGAGAATTGGCAGTGGCCTGTTTATCTAGGACCATGGTCACAGTGGCCTATAGTTCATTAATGGTTTGAGTTGTCTGCACAGTGGCAGAAAGTGCAAGGGCCGAGGCGGTAACCGAAGCAGTAACCGCGGCGGTGGCTATCAGGCCCACAATAATAGCAGAGATCCCAAAAATCTCGCTTTTCCCTAAACAAACTCAAATTACTTGGCGCCTCAACAGGAGCTGGAATAAATCGAGGCATGCGCATTACCAAAGCAAAAGGGTGCTTAATAGCATCCCAGCATAATGCATAAAAACAATTCTAAGCAGAACAATTTATTTCTTTCTGATTCTTACCTAAGGTATCATTACTCACAACCCAAATAAAGGGCAGCTGAATAATTAGTTCTCTTAAAAGGGGTATACTTAACATTGGAGGAGGACCAATCAGATGATCCAGAGCTCTGTCCCTCACTCAGACTGTTGCCTAATGCCCCTTTCCAATCAAAAGTAATCTGTCCCTTCTCACTATCATAGGAGAAAGATCAGTACAGCTTCCATTAATTCAAAAGGATTAGCATTAGATCTTTCTGGATCCATATGAATAAAATTATCCTTTAATGAAGAAATCACAGTAAAGCACAAGCTTCCTACTAATGACAAGGTTCTCTCATCCTGAAAACTCTGTATCTGAGGATCTAAAGGCAAAAAGGCAAGCCCCAACTCTCTATTATTTGTGAAAAATCTAGGGAACACCTGGGCATTCTGCATCACTGGCATCGGTAGGGGAAGGTAGACATGATGGCCCACCGTAACTCTCCCATCATACTAGGAACCATCATCCCGAGTAGGAGAGTCTTCATCACCCACTTGGCCTCCATCCTTCTTATTCTGGAGTTGTGAAGGAGCTCTTCGAGTGAGTCTTTCAGGGATCCACAGGGGGTTTTCTTCCTCCTGTGGAAAAACACACACAGCTCCCCTGGATCTTATAAGAATAGGATCCGGGCCTTTCCAGAGATCAGTCAAGACATCTTTCCATTTTACCATTTCTTTTGGCCTATCAGGCTCTAAACTGTGGCGATCAGCCGCAGTGTGGCCTTGGGCATCACAGTTCAAGAAATTAAGGGTAAAAAGTGCCATGGATACAGCAACTCTTGGTACCGAGGGTAGAACATCCTCAATACTCCCCTTTTGTTTAATCAGATATGATTTGAGTGTACGATGGGCACGTTCCACAATGCCCTGTCCTTGAGGGTTATAAGGTAGGCCAGTTAGATGGGTAACATCCATTTGCCGACAAAACTGTCGGAATTTTTGAGAGGTATATGCTGGTCCATTGTCTGTTTTTAAAATTCTGGGTTTTCCCCAAGCACTCCAGGCCTCAAGGCAATGTTGAATCACATATGAGGCCTTTTCCCCTGTTAGGGGTGTGGCAAACATTACGCCAGAACAGGTGTCAACAGAAACATGAACATATTGAAGCCTTCCAAAAGAGGGAATATGAGTAACATCCATCTGCCACATCTGCAATGGTCTAATGCCACGTGGGTTTATTCCCATGTGGGGAGTAGGTAAGAATTCGCAGCAATTCTGGCATTGAGTAACAATTTCCCTAGCCTCTTTCCTGGATAGAGCAAAACGACGGCGCAAGGTCTCAGCCGTCACATGAAAGCGCTTATGGAATTCTTTTGCTGCTTGTGCATGGGTAGACAAGGCAGCGGCCACCAGCTTTGTAGCCTTGTCCGCTAAGTCATTCCCTAAGGACATGGGACCTGGGAGTCCAGAATGTGCTCGGACATGGGTAATGAAAACAGGAAATCTCCTATTTAACAAGGCAGCTTGTATCTTCTGAAAGATGTTAGCAACTCTGCTGGAGGATCTTATTATTCCAGCTATCTCAAGGAGATTAACTGCATTAACCACATAAGAGGAATCTGATACAATATTGAGGGGTCCTGGAAAAGCCTCAAGAACCTCCAGTACTATCAGACATTCTACAACTTGAGGTGAAGTTTCATTATATTGTTTAGATATAACCCTATCCTTGACCACATAAGCTCCCATACCAGTTTTTGATCCATCAGTGTACACCACAGTCCCATCTGGGAGTGGGTCTTTAGCTGTCACTTGTGGAAACACTATAGCCTGGTTTAGGGCAAACTGTAAAATTGGATGCTTTGGAAAATGATTATCAATTTGTCCTGAAAAGGAAGTAACTAAAACTGCCCAATCACTAGATGTGGCTGCCAAGGTCTGAACTTGTGCAGCAGTATAAGGCACAATCAAGGAATCAGGATCCCTGCCAAAATGTGTAACAGCTGCTTTTATTCCGCGAAGCGCGAGCTGTGCAACAGCATCAGGGTACCAGTCAATAATCTTAGCAGGGGAAGCATTTGGATGAATCCAAAGTAATGGTCCATGTTGCCACAGGACTGCAGTTGGCAATTGAGCTGTCTTAAAAACACACAGATTAAAAGGTAGTGACTCCTCAATTCGTTGTAATTGTGCTTCCTGTAAGGCCTCTTCCACCATCTGTAAGGCTCGGTGGGCGGCAGGGGTAAATTTTCTGGGTGAGGAGATATGAGGCTCACCCTCCAGGAGATCGAAGAGGGGTTTTAGATCAGCAGATGGAATTTTTAAAAAGGGCCTCAACCAATTTATATCTCCCAGAAGTTTCTGAAAATCATTTAATGTTTGTAAGTGGTCTTTGCGAATTTCTATTTTCTGAGGAACTATATTTTTGGGAGTAATCTTTGAGCCCAAAAAGAGGCCTGTATCTGCAATTTGAACCTTTTCTGAGGCAATCTCTAATCCCCACTGTTTTAATTCAGCCACCAGCATGGGAAAAGCCTTTTGTAAAACATCTAACTCTTTGTGACAAATAAGAATATCGTCCATATAATGGATAACGATTAAAGATGTAAATTGCTTCCTAATTGGCTCCAAAGCCTCCTGCACATATAGCTGACATATTGTTGGGCTATTGGCCATGCCTTGCGGCAGTACCTTCCACTGAAATCTCTTGTCTGGTTCCATATGATTAAGAGAAGGGATAGTGAAGGCAAACCTTGGTCTATCCCGTG